AAAATAGTGAAGAAAAATAGTCTGGGAGCCAGGACGAAGATACATTCGGGTGAGAGTAGATCAAGACTCCCTGAGATCCGGCGGCTCTGGAGCATGCCTTTGGCGCCGCGGCCTTCTGAGAGCGTTCCAGAACGCTCTGAGAGCGTTCCGAACGCTCCGGAAGGAATTTAACTCCGTTCTAGCCCCGTCCGATAGAAGCACCCCTGGCAAGATCCTGCAAGTTCCTGCGCGCTAGCCGCGTTCAATACAACCCCAGCGTTGCAGGATCCTGCACGATCCGGCGCTCTGGCTAACCCCCGATCGCATGGACCCCCGTCTCATATATAGCTCAGACCCCTGGTTCTTAGAGGGCGCTGGCCCTACCTACGTCCACAGGCGAGGCCCGCGCCTTCTAAGAACCAGGGGCTTCCCCCTTCCCCCCACCCTACTTCTGTCGGGGATGGACAGAACCCCCTTTAGCAAAACGTGGTTTAGTGAAAACGACCTCGGGCCCAAATCTGGCGGGCGCAAGCCTGGAAACTGACGGCCACGGCGCCCTCTCGAAAACCGAAAATGGACAATTCACTAATCGACGTGTCACTGTTGGGGGTTCTGTCCAGCCCCGATTCTGCGCGTGGCCGAAAGTGGGGACTTCCGGCGCGTCGATGCCAGCACGCTGAGCCGAGCAGCGAAGGAGAAACGAAGCGCGGGACCGAATCCGGCGGGGGGCGCGCGCCTCCCCACTTCGAAAAATACCAGGGAGGAGGAGGAGGAGGAGGAGGAGGAGGAGGAGGAGGAGGAGGAGGAGGCCTGTTCGGCAGTCTCGGCGCCCTCTTGGGCCACTTGGGGGGGCCCTCTTGGAGGCCTCTCGTCGGCGACTGCAGTGGGTGCGGTTTTTGCGAAGGGTGCGGTTTGCCTCCCGTCAGATCTGCCCCTCCCGCCCACGGGAAACGGATGACACTGTCACCCAATGCGACCGAATCACATGACACTGTTGCTCCCTCTAGCGCCGTGGAGCACACATCGAGGATGACAGTGTCGCTGGAAACGACGACAAAAGTGGCATTGCCTCTCACAAAGGCCCCGGAAAGGCCGCCACAAAGCAGCTCGCAAACCGCACCCCGGCATAACCGCACCGATTGTAGTCGCCGATCTCGGGCCGTCTCGGGGCGACGTTGGGGACCTCTCGGGCCGTCTTGGAGCGTCGGGGAGCCGACCGGGCGAGCACGCCAGAATCCTTCAGACGCCCACGGAGGAAGACTGCTCGTGGCCTCCCGGGGGGGCCCTTTGGGGGCGAGGTGCTCCTGGAGGCCCCTTGGGACGTCCTGGCCGCTCTTTCGGCCGGCCGGAGGCCTTCCCTGGGCCTCCCCTAGGGCTCCCAACTTCGCGCTTCGCGCTGCGCGAAGCGCGAAGCGCGAATAACTTCGCGCTCTCGCGCCGCCCTCCCAAAGGGAGAATAGGAGGACGAGGAGGAGGGGGAGAAGGAACGAGGACCGCGAAGCGCGAATAACTTCGCGCCCTCGAGGGAGCCCTTGCCTCCCTGGAAGAGCTGGGACCACCTGGAAGGGCCAGGGCGAGCACCCGCCCCACGGCCCCACGACCCCCGGAGCTCCGACGTGGCGAAGACGGCATCATCGACAAAAAAAGTCCACCCAAAGACGAGGCCGGGACGAGGGCAAAAAAGCGGGGGGAGATGAACCGAGCATCTCCGAGACTCGGTGGCTCTGGAGGAGGATGTCTCGGGCGCCGCGGCCTTCTCAGGAGCGCTCTGGAAGGCTCTGGAACGGATTCCTCCTCGCCCTAGTCCCGTCCGGCAACTGGAGACCCTGGCCATCGCTCGGAAGTCCATTCCCTGTGCTTCATTCGGTCTCGTGCGTGGCTTTTTCGCCAAATGATCAAGGATGCTCCTCGATTGTCCTCGCCGAAGGAATCATGCACACGTCCGAGCGATGCCAAGGACCTGGAACAACATCTTTCTGCGCCACTCTCGAGCCAGATCGGTCCGCCAGGGCCACGGGGCCCGAGACCGCACAGGATCGCCCGCGGTGAACGGAGTGCCGCTCAAGTCAGGATGGTGGGGCCCTCGATGCAGCGGTGGACACGCGCGGCAGCGCAAGAAAGATACCTTCTCGCATCGAGCGATAATTCGCGACCGCTGGGTCGCAACGGGCGGCGTGCGCGCGCGGCGCTACGCGCACGCCGCCGGCACCGCGAGGCCGCCCGGGCGTGCGGGGCGCTGGCGCAGGGCCCACTGCGCCGCAGTGCAGGCGAGCAGAGCGAGCGCCGACGGCCAAAGGAAGTTCCAGTGGAGCGACAGCGCCTCGCCAAGTCTTGAGCCTGCCAGCTCCGCCGAGCCGCCCGCGAACACGCCCCAGCCCAGGGCTATCCCGGCGTCGTCCTCGGCAATCTCCTCGAGCATGCGCGTGGACAGCACCGTGTGCGCGAGGGCGGCGGCGAAGCTGAGCGTCCCTCCTGCAGGACAACGGAACAGCATTTCTTGGAGGTCCGCGCGGCATTCTTGGATCTGCGCTGAACCACACTCCCTGGCGCGCGCAGCGCGCCAGTGAAGGGGCCTTGGACGCACAAATAAATAGACGCGAAGAACAGGATCCCCCATATTTTCATATATTTTCGGGTTCTTTGTCTTCCCCCCCATTTCCCGTAGTTTCCCACATTTCCTGGGGAATCGACGATTCATTGTGTCTGTGGAGGCCCCGCCAGGGGGGCACCAGCGCCGATCGAAGAAGTCCGTGCGGTCCCAAGAGAAATCCCCAAAGCCAAAAGCTCCACCTTCCCCTGGCACGGAAGAGGGCTCCATCACTGTTCCCTATTCATATACACCCCCTGCCCCACCCGCCCGGCAACCAACCTGGCAACCAACCCGGAACAATGAGGACCCCATGATCACCCAGCCCCACCATCCCTGTCAACAGAACGATACAAGACGCACTCTGTCACCACATGTTTGAAGCATGCGCGGCCGCCCCGCGACCACCTTGCATGTGTATTTCACAGGGACGGCCGGGGTGTCAACAGAGATCCTACCTGCCTTCTGGGCGCTGGTGGTCGACCGACTTCTTCGACAAATCAATGGCTGCTGCCTTCTCGCCTTTTCGTGTCCGATGGGCCTTCGAAACTTCCGTTCCCAATGAAGCTGCCGCAGCGTCTGCAGTGCCCAGCAGCGCCCCGATGCCCGAAGACCTCTGCCATGGGCGCGTCGCCTGGCCGCGCGCGACAGCCGCGGAGCCGCGGAGCTTCCCTGTCGCAAATGAACCTGCAACAGGCACGGCGGGAGCGCGAATGCCCTGGCATTGCAGTGCGGTTCGACCAGGGCTGTTCGGTGCACACCGATGGGTTGCATGGCTGGGGGGAGGGCCGCGCGCGGTGGCGGGCAGCCGCAAGCGTGCGCTGGGGCGTGCGCAAGTGCTGGCGCAGCAGCAGTTGCGGCGCACGCAGGCGGAGCCCCTAGTGGTTCCCAGTGGCTGGCGCACCTGGCGCGGCTGAAGCACGTGGAACACTGGGCGCACGTGGAGCACGTGCCGCACCTGGCACGCCTGGCACGCTTGTGCCTCCAGGGTGTCTGGTGCATTTGGAACCCGTGGCGTCTGCGGCGTTCTTACGCGATATGCTGACCTCCCGGTGTTACATTTGTGTTGGGAGGGCGGGTGGGAGTGAGCAAGACGGCTTGCGGGCGGGTGGATATCTTGACCTTTCCCCCTACCCCCTCCCATGGGCTTGGGAGGGAGCCCAACATAGCCTGCAAGATGGTTCGAGATAGCCTCCGACACACATCCAAGAGGCCTCAAGACGGCCCCCAAATGATTTCAAGTGACCTTCGAGGACCGCTCAAGAGGCCAACATCATTCAAAAACCAAAGGAACGAATCGTGTGATTTCCCTTCTCGCCTTTTCGCTTCCGATGTGCTCTCGAGGCAGCTCAAGAGGGCCCCAAGACGAGCGCCCAAGAGTGCCTCAAGAGGGCCTCGGAACATAATTGTTGAGCCTCCGAGGGGTGGGCCTGAATTTGTCGCACCCCTCTCTGTTTGAGCTATGGGGCCCAAGACGGCCCCAAGAGCCCCCCCCAGAAAGAGGGGCCCAAGACACCCCAAACGAGCCCTAAGACGGCCCCAAGAGTGCCCCAACTGTCTCCGCGAGGACCCCAAGAGGGACCCAAGACGGCTCTAAGAGACCTCCGAGACAACACTTCCAAGGCGGGTGTTACACTGCATGCATCTAAACTTCCCTGATCAAGGCAACTCGCCTGCCGATTTGTTTCTGGATGGGCTGGTGGGGATGCGCGAAGCGTCACGAATTATGTTTGTGTCGTCTCTTCTTCTTCTTCGGCTCCTGCCGCGACGGCCAGATCGAAAGCAGCATCGATCCCCTCCAAGTGCACCTTTGCGGACGCGAGGGCCAAGAGAGCACAGCTCAGGCAGCCCAGCCTCAGCGTGCAGTCCAGGCAGTCGCCGCCCGCCAGCGCCCCCAGCCCTGGGCTCAGCAGGATGGGCACCACCACTCCGGAGGTGACCACGCCCACGATGTCGAACCTGTAGCTTCGAGAACGACACCCGTGCACCGCACCACGGTTGGACTCCCTTCGGGCCTCGCTCCAGCGTGGCACAAGGCATAGCTTCCGGGCCGAGAGGGTCGAACAACTGTGCACGGTACTGTTCCCGGGTCGAGGAGCTGCTGCGCCTCGGGAGGGGCCAACGCGACACTGGCCAGCCTCGAGCTGATCCCCATCCCGGAGGTCGGCACGCCCGAGGCGATGACAGTCTTAGGAATGTGCCCTCAGAGACTGAGGGGATCCTCAAGCTCGGCACCGAGGTAAGGTGATGCTAAACAGATGGATCGGGAAATGCTTCAAACTGGTACACTCAACCCGTATACTCAGGACGCACGATAAGGATGCAAGGGCTTCGCAAGGCCATGTTTACACTTTGTGGGCGGGGCGCGGCCAGCGAAAGCGGCCAAAGATGGGCCGAAGGGGAAGGCTGTAAGGGCAACCGTGGAAACTCGCTCATCCTTCCTATGCGGGTTGACTGCAAAGCACGCTGTGCACTAGTCGTCCGCAGATAAGCACTCTCTTGGAGCTGCGCGCGGGGCTCCTCGGATCGGCTCCGGGCGCTCCTGGCTGCGCCTGCGGCGCCACCCCTGGTGCGCACCGCGTGCAAGGGATGGGGGGCCGGTTGAGACGACGGCGACTCTCCCGCCTGGGCCAAGTCCGCTCAGAATCGGTCCCCGGACTTCCGGGGTGCATCATCACGAGCTTTGCGAAGCGCGCCCAGCCGTGAAGACGAGAAGGCCGCAGGACGCCCAAGAAGGCCCAAGCGAGAAAACTGGCGCCCGACAGTTTGTGTGTGTCATGGAGGCCTCACAGAATGGGGCCGAGTAGATGGGGGTCGTAGGATCGCGCCGCGTCGCCGCCGCATCGCCGATGCTTCGGCGACGCCGGCGATGCAGCTGCGACGTCGGCGCGGAGGGAGTCGGGCTCCACATCGAGCCACGTCGCCGATGCGTCGACGGTGCGGCGCGACCCTCCGACCCCATCTGCTCCGACCCCCTATCTGGGAGCCCTGCGTGCCATGCAAGTGTTTCTTCTCGAGTCGGGCGAAAGGGGGGGATAGCAAAGGGGGGGGGTTGAGAATCAGCTCATGCAGCTGATTTTCCCGGCGCCTCCCGGCGCCGGAGGCGGCTATTCATCGGTGGGGCCGAAACTAGTAACTAGCTGCATGCAGCAAATTTCGTACCCCCCCCTTTCCCAATCCCCCCCCTTTCGTCCGGCCCGATCTTCTCCGAGGACCACAGCACGCTGCGGCCGTCCCCCCACGCCAGGAAGCCGGACAGGACGTCCTCCGAGCTCACGGAGGCCAGCCGGGGCATCGCGCCCATGATCAGCGAGAGGCCGAACACCACGAGCGAACGTGCCGCCAGCTCTGGAGCACACTCGTGGGCGACCCCGAACGTCCGCTTCACCTCGACTGGCGGACGAAAGGGGGGATCTCTGAGATCCTGGCGTCGTATCGTTTCACATTTGGCGATTCGGACTGGCCTCGGGCCCGCGGTGTCCTCTCGGACCGACCCGGCCCGAAAGATGCAGGAGAGAAGTGGGGCTCGGGGCTGCGATCGAGCTTTTGATTGCGACCTTGCATCTTTTCGTGACGTGGGATCTCAGGGGATTGGCGAATCAACTCACGAAACATACTCGTCGTCTGGTTTTCGGGTCACAATTAACTCGGGTCATCTGGTGGCCGTTCAGGACGATCTGGGAACCTTCAGAACGCTCTTGGCGAGGTTCAACTGCACGAAAGCTTCCCGATGCCCGAAAAAATCGCCGCGAACCGACGAAGACGCCCGACGACCTCGAACCTCAAGGCCTTACTCCCTCCCTTTCGTGGATTCGTCGAGGCCGACCAGATGGGGTCGGAGTGGAAGGGGTCGGAGGATTGCACTGCACTGTCGTTGCATCGGCGTCGGCGACGTCGGGGTGGAAAACATCAGACTCTGGATCGAGCCGCATCGCCGATGGATCGGCGACGCAGTGCGATCCTCAGACCCCATCTACTCATACAGTCAACTCGTATCATGAGGATGCGAGGTAAGGATGCAAGGGCCTCGGAGGGCCATGCTGGCGTTTTCGAACGAGGCTGGCAAGGGAACGTCGCTCAGGATGGGCCGAAAGGGCAAGGATGCAAGGGTACCCTTGGGTTATGTTGTTCCCATCAAGCTTAAAGACCACAACCCAGAAACAGTCTCAAACACCCAACAAAAACATCGAAACCGTGTTCAACGAGTATCGCCCCCAGGGCCCGACACGTGAAAACCCTCCAGTTCTGGTGCTTTCTTGGTGCTCGAACTTCTTTCTGGTGATCAAGGCTAAATGATGGGCAGCGATAGGGGGGGACTGGCATAGGGGCGATGCATCGCCGATAGATCGGCAATAGGCCCCAGATCGTGCATCCGCACCTTCCTGGGCAGGTTGGGGCTATGGGGCCCCCTATCGGCGATCATTGGGCGATTGGGGGTCGATGCATCACCCCCTAAAGTGCGGGCGCGGTCGCAAGAAAACCTCTCAGGAAACCCAACCCTGAAAACCCGCAGGCGAGGTGCACCTGAGGAGAACCCCAGAGCACCCTGAACGGATCAGCTCCTTTGACGGCGGGGGAAGTCACCGCGCAGCGCGCGGAGCGAAGAAACCTAGTACTAGGGAATCCTGACAAACAAAAAGCAACTGCTTTCATGATGCGCGCCCCCACTGTATGCCTATCCCTCCTATCGATGCCCCTGACTGGGAGTGGGTTGGAACATCATGACCCTTCGAAAGGTTGCCCCTCCTCACAATGCGGGCCGGCTGTCTTCACGCCTCGCGCCCCCACGGCCCGCGATGCGCAATCGTCTTCGCGAACTCGCCCCCCCCCGCGCCTCCCCGTGAGCAGGGCCCGTCCCGGCATTCCTGTAGGCCTGCCACGTAATGTTCTTAGAACCCATAGATGTTCCAACAACAAAAACAAGGTTCTCAGAACGTGAGCCCGATGTGATGATGAAGCAGAACGATCTCGGCCAGAAATGCTCTAAGAACACTTCGCCGAAACCACACACGGTTCTTAGAACATGGCTCGGTGGGCCTATAGGCACGCCAGGACGCTTTGCCACTGCTTGATCCCCAGTGGAGAGGAGCAGCTGCTCTTGCCCCGGCCGCCCCAGGGCGAAGCGCGACTTCGGGGACCTGCTGACCCGGGTCAATCCAGACCCGGGTCAGTCATGCCTTGCAGAGTCCTGCAAAATCCTGCACCCAAACCCGGGTCAATGCGAAGGATCCTGCAGGATCCTGCAGGATCCTGCAGGATCCTGCACCCAAACCCGGGTCAATGCGACCCTGGCCCTGCAGGATCCTGCAAGGTCGGGGCGCTCTGGCTGACCCCCGTTTGCACTGACCCCCGTCTCGAGGCTCCCGACGACTATCTGCGCGCCCCGCCGGCGAACCTGCTGCAATCAAACTTGGCGATCTCGGAAGCCCTGCACCAAAAAAAGCAGTTCCGCCTCTTGGGGGACGCACTGCTTACTTCAAGGGGCCCCAGGACACACAAATAAATACACACAAATAAACAGATTCCCCATATTTTCCTATATTTTCTGATTACTTCGACTTTCTGGCCCCATCGTGTCTGTGTGTTTCTTTCCCTCCTGATTACTTCCGCCCTCGCAGGCGGCCTCGTTGTACTTCCGCCGACCTTCCGCCGCGGAAGAGATGACAACTCCTTCGACTCGCGAAGGCAAAGCCCTTTCTGGAACCCTCCATATCGTAAGGATGCGCGGTAAGGATGCAGGGGTCTTGGGGGGCCATGTTCGCATTTTTCGAACGAGGATGGCCAGCGGAAGTCGCTCAGGATGGGCCGAAGGGGCAAGGAAGCAAAGGAACCCTTGGGAAGGGTTGCCCATCATAACTATGCGGGTTGACTGTGCTCGGACACCGTTTGCCATCAAGGCGGCCGGGATTTCCATGAGATCTGACGTCACAACCAAAATTACAGCGTCGTGAAAAATCTGCCAAAACCCTGGCCACCGTCTTTCCGCACACTTTCTCCAGACGGATTGATCCGTGAGGGTCCCCAGGCCCGAAACAAAGCAACAGAAATCACCCGCTGTGAAAAATGCATCGCCAGGATCTCAGGGTCAGGGCGACCTGGATTTCGTGGAGCGCGCAAGGGGCGGCGCCATAGGCGCCGCCAGGGAGGCCTCAGCGCCGATCCGAGAAATTCGAGCGGAGCTCCGAAGATTAATCTTCATGCGATCTTATCACTTTGAATTAAAGCGGCCGGTTCGCCCGATCCTGGGGAAATCAGAAAAGGTGCCGATATCGCTGCTCCCAAAGAACTCTCCTGGGGGCCGTTATGATGAGAATTTCGCGGAGAATCCAGCCGTGGAGACGAGGGCCCCCCAGGATGCGCAAGGAGGGGATACTGAGGAGAGGCCCCTCCTTCCTTCACCCCCTGCTCCGAGGCTCCTGGTCTGCATCCTTCCTCCTGCCCCTCCCACTCCTGCCTCTGTCCTCACCCTGCTGCTCTTCGAGCTCCGATTCTTCGTCCCGCTGCTGATGTTCCCGATGCTCATAATCTTGCTCCTCCCAACTCCCGAGGCTTTCGGGTCACACCTCGGCTCTCCGGCGGCCGTTCGGGACAATCCAGGCAACCCCGGAACGCCCGCGGCGAGGCGCAGCTGCTGAAACGCGTCTGGGGGCAAGAGAACCGCCGAGAACCAACGAAAACTGCCGAGAACCGACGAAAACGAGGCGCAGCTGGTGAAACGCGCCCCGGGGCAAGAGAACCGCCCAGAATCGACGAACACCGCAGAGAATCGACGAACACCTCCTCCAATTCCTCCAGCTTCCCTCAGGGAGCCCACAAAAAACCTACCGAGATCGGCCGGGTGATACGAACGCTCGCGCAATGCGTACGTGTGGATTCATGTACGTGTGCGTCCTTCTTTGGCTTCTGACCCCCAACGGTAGCGTCAGGTCGGGCATGTCCTCCTGCAGTGGGATTTTGGAGGAAAAATGAAAAATATTGGAACAAGTATGCAAACATTGACCCTCCCCACCAAAAATACTAGAAGAGTCGTCCCCATACCAATTTTGACTGTTCTTGAGTACCCCTCCTGCAGAGGGACAGGCCCGACCTGACGGCAGCGGCAGCCCTCCCTCCCCCGAGGGATACCTCGCCCACCCCCCCCCCACCCCCTGGCCATCGCTGGGACGTCCATTTCCTGTGTTCTTGTTTCGGTGTCGCGCGTGGCTTTTTTTTTTCGCGAAACGATCCAGGATGCTCCTCGACAGCCCTCGCCGAGAAAAAATGCACACGTCCGAGCGATGCCAGGACCCCCGGAGGAGAGGAGGAGGAGGAGGAGGAGGAGGAGGAGGAGGAGGGAGGAGGAGGAGGAGGAGGAGGAGGAGGGGGAGGGGGAGGAGGAGGGGAGGAGGGGAGGGAGGAGGAGGAGGAGGAGGAGGAGGAGGAGGAGGAGGAGGAGGGAGGAGGAGGAGGGAGGGAGGAGGAGGAGGAGGGGAGGCCTCGCGCGCCGCCCGCTGCCCGAGCCGGCGCAGCGCCCCGCAGGGCTCGCCGCACTCGCGGGCGCACGCGCGCTCGCCGCGCGCCTGCAGGGCGTGCCCCAGCACGCCCAGCGGCCGGCGCTCGCCCTCCGCGGCGGGGCCCTCGCGCGGCCGGCGCCGGAAAGGCACTCCAGATCTCGCAATAAAAGGGAGGATCGAGGAGGATCGAGGAGGAGGATCGAGGAGGAGGATCGAGGAGGATCGAGGAGGATCGAGGAGGAGGATCGAGGGTCGAGGGTCGAGCATCGAAGGTCGAGGGTCGCAGGTCTAGGATCGAGGGTCGAGGATTCTGTGTCGAGGGAAAAACACACACAGACAAACCTTCGTCGATTCCCATGAAGATACTCCAGATTTCGTAATACAAGGGAGGGGGGGTCTGGACCCTCCAAGACAAGCCACTTCAGGCCTCCCCCGTGGGAGAACCCCCCAAGACATCGTCCCCAGACCCCCCCAGGCCCTCCAAGATAGCCTGGAAGAGACCCCCCCCCCGAAACGAGGCCCCCTCCCTTTTTTGTTACGGAATCCGCAGTATACGGTCCGCCCGTGCACAGTGCAGGGGGCCCGGCCACAGGGAGCCTTCCACGAGGAGCCCAGGCCTGAGACCCTGGGGCGTCCATTGACTTTTTGGTGTGGGGGCGTCACGCCCTCCGTCGCAAGACCATCGAGGCCCAAGAAACCCGGGGGCACCCTGGAGGCGAGCAGGGCGCTTCTTGGCGTGGGCCCCCACTGTAGTAATGCTGCGCTGCGCAGCTGGAGCACGGACAGGAGAACGTCCTGCAAGAGCGTGAGACCCACGTCCTGCAAGAGCGTGAGACCCTCTGACTGCCAAACCATCCCAAGCCATACGATCACTCGAGGGTGCCCTCCCCCCAGATGCACAATAACATACGGCAAACACGAAAAACAGTAGGGTACCCCCCCCCCGCCCGAACCGACCTCGATCTTAAACCTCGGTCCGACCATACGGATGCAAGAGCCTTGGAGGGCCATGGTAGCGTTTTTCGAACGAGGTTGGCCAGCGAACGTCGCTAAGGATGGACCGAAGGGGCAAGGATGCAGAGGTAACCTTGAAAAGTCGCTCATCCTAACAGTGCGGGTTGACTGTAGCGTGCGACATCGACCTCCGAACAGGCGACGTCGGTCATCCATAGTGCTCAGCTTGTTCATTGCTAGAGAGAAAAAGAAAACCTGATCAGAAGCACCCCGACACGCGAAGCCGTGCAGTAAACGAACCCCAGGAAGGAATCGAACAGGCCAACGCTGTTTGGTGAACGCCCGGGGGCCGTTCAGTAAACGCCAGTGATTGGGGCTGGGTTGGTTTGTCCTCCCTTGGTCTCCTTGCAGGAATGGCGGGTGGCTCCTCTTTCAAAACAGCGCTCTAGCTTAGCACGGCATTCAACTTCATGACCCGAGCTGGTCGAATTTGGCTACCCATCGGTCGGAAGAAGTGGGTAGAAACATGAAGTAGGAAGGCGTAGAAAGTAGATTGGGTGTCCGCCCGCCCCCTTTGGGAGGACGGAGAAGGTGAAGCCACTCGATCCTTGAAGTAGGACGGCGCTTAAAGTATATTGGAATCTAGGAATCACAACACACCTTTGAGCAGGGGCCGACCGTCCTGGCATTCCTATAGTCCTACCACGGGGTGGTCTTAGAACCCAAAAATCTTCTAATAACGCAGATAATGTTCTTAGACCATAAGCCTGATGTGTTCAAGCAAGACCGCCCCAACCAGCAATGTTCCAATAACATGTCGTGAAAACCGCAAGAGGTTCTCATGAACGTCGTTTGGCAGGCCTATGGGCGAGCCAGGACGCTTCGCCACTGCTCGATACCTGCTTTCAACGACCGTTGGCTACCGCTCGCCAGAGTCGGGTCGGGCGAAAGGGGGGGATAGCAAAGGGGGGGTTTGAGAATCAGCTCACGTAGCTGATTTTCCCGGCGCCTCCCGGCGCCGGAGGCGGCTATGTATCGAGGAATGGGCCCCTCGGTGGGCCGAAACCAGCTGCATGCAGCAAATTTCGTAACCCCCCCTTTCCCTATCCCCCCCTTTCGCCCGACCCGAGCCTATAGGCGAGCCAAGACGCTTCGCCACTGCTCGATACCTGCTTGCGACGACCGCTGGCTACCGCTCGCCGGAGGGACGCAGGGCGACCCGTGCTCAGACGTGCTGTCCTCGTGGGGCGGCGCCGCCCCGCCAGGGCGCCTTCTGTGTGCGCCGTCCCCCTGCCAAGGATGAAGGGGCCCTGTAGGAAGGCACCAACTATACACCAACACCGATCCTGGCCAGGATCACCCTGGGCCCAGGATCGGTGTATACGCCCTCCTGCCTTGGGCAAGAAGGCATATACACCGATCATGGGCCCAGGGTGATCCTGGGCCAGGATCGGTGTTGGTGTATAGTTGGTGCCCTCCGACCCTGGGCCACACTAATAAATGTACACAAATGAAAGGATTCCCCATATGTTCCCATATTTCCTGGATCTCTGTCTTCCCCCCCACTTCCTACATTTTCCAATATTTTCGGGGGAATCGACGCTTGATTGTGTCTGTGTGGTTTTTTCCCTCCTGAAAGGGCTCTTCGCTGCACGCCATCCCCGAGGATGGAAGCCGGCGTGCAAGGGGAAGGCCAACGTCGGGCCGGGCGAAAAGGGGGGGATGGCAAAGGCGGGGTTTGAGAATCAGCTCACGTGGCTGATTTTCCCGGCGCCCCCCGGCGCCGGGAGGCGCCCATGTATCGAGGAATGGGCCCGGTGGCGGGGCCGAAACCAGCTGCGCGCAGCAGATTTCGTACCCCCCCCCCCTTTCCCAATCCCCCCCCCCTTTCGTTCGGCCCGCCAACGGCGCCACCTCGCAGGCCATCTTCCCAGCGCCGACCGTGGCGAAAAAAACACGAGGCCGAGGCCAGGACAGCCTCGGCCCAGGACCAATCTGAAGGGGAACTGGAACACACAAATAAATACACACAAATAAAAATATCCCCCATATTTTCCCATATTTTCTGGGTTTTTGTCTTCCCCACCACTTCCCATATTTTTGCATATTTTCCTGGGAGTCGACGATTAATTGTGTCTGTGTGTTTCTTTCCCTCCTGACAATCGGAGACTTTCGATCTGAACTCCGCCACGGGCGGCCGGCGCATCCAGCGGCACCGTGGACCCGCGGAGACGCGGCCGCACGGAGGCGCTCCGCGCGCGGCATCCGCGACAACACGTCCAGCCTCCACGGGGTCGCGGCCCGAGGGCCCCCGCCCGCGAGGCCGTGGATGCGGATGGTCTCTCGGGAGGGTGCCTCGGGCGCAGCGGCCGTGCCAGAGCGCCCCCGAACGCTCTGAGAGCGTGTGGGGACTCACCGACCGGGGTCAACGCAGGCCCGGGCCAGCCAGGGTTTCCAGAGTCCTGCAAGAGATCCTGCAGGATCCTGACACATCCTGCACGCGAGCCCGGGTCGGTGCACCCCTGGCCCTGCAGGATCCTACAAGATCCAGCGCTCTGGCTGACCCCCGTTCGCATTGACTCCAATCCCTTGAGCTCTGGAGGAGGAATGAGGAGGGAGGAGGCGGAGGAGGGGGAGGATTAGGATGACTAGGGGGAGGAGGAGGAGGAGGAGGAGGAGGAGGAGGAGGAGGAGGAGGAGGAGGAGGAGGAGGAAAAGAAGGAAGAGGAGGAGGAGGAGGAGGAGGAGGAGGAGTGAGAAGGGGCGGGCCTTCTGGGCAGGCTCGGAAGTCCCGAGGCCTCCTGAGAAGTTTTTTCGGAGCTTCCCCCGCACAAAAAATTCGGCGACACGCAGGAGCGACCCTGCGTAAGAGTGGCCTTTGGTGCGCGGCGTTTTGAGGGCCGCGGGGGGGCCACCACACAAGCGCACAAGACGCTACTACCTCACCGCACGCGACGATCAGGGGGCCCCTGGGCGCGCCCCAAAGGTCACTCCGGCGAGAGGTCACTCTTGCGTGAGATCGAAAAATACTTCTCAGAAGGCGCGAGGTCTTCTGAGAAGTCACGCCGCCTTCTGAGAAGGCCTTCTCCTTCTCACTTCCCCGCTTCGCTCGCCGCCGAGATTTGAAGCGTTGTGTCCAGAGGAGGAGGAGGAGGAGGAGGAGGAGGAGGAGGAGGAGGAGGAGGAGGAGGAGAAAGAAGAAGAGGGGGGGGGGAGAGGAGGAGGAGGAGGAGGAGGAGGAGGAGGAGGAAAAGGAAAAAGAGGAGGAGGAAGCATTTTGGAGCGGTGTGGCCTCCGCCAGGAGGCGACCGACGAAGGGGAGCGCTAGGAGGCTCGAGGCCACCAGCAGCGCGATCGCCCCCAGCCTCACCTCGGGAGGCAACCACCCGGAGGCTCGCCCAAGAACGGGGGCTACGCGCCGGTCGGGAGAAGTACAGCTCGGGGATGGACAAAGCCCCCTTTAGAGTAAAACGTGGCTTAGTGAGAAAGACCTCGGGCCCAAACCTAGCGGGCGCACGCCTGGAAAATGACGGCCGCGGCGCCCTCTCGAGAACCGAAAACGATCAATTCACAAATCGACGTGTCAGGGGTGGGGGTTCTGTCCACCCCGAACAGTAGGGGCTCGACCACGAGAAACCTTCCACAAGAAACCTTACCCTGGAACACCAGGCCGTACATGGATTTGTGGTTTGGGGACGTCACGCTCTCCAAAGAAAAACCAGCGAAACCCGATAAACCCAGGGTACCCCAGAAGCAAGTAGGGTGCTTCTTGGCATGGGTCTCCACTGTAGGTGAAAACATGAAGTAGGGAGGCGGATCAAGTAGGCTGGGTCCAGGCCCTCCCATATAATAACGCAACGCAGAAAAAAGGTATATCGATTATTGGAGCAGAAGGCGCCTGCAACAGAATGGGACCTGGGAATCCAGAGATACACACTTTCAACGACCGACGGGCACAGTCGGACCTAGGCCAGCAGAACATCCCTCAAGAACATGATAATCTCCGCCAGCCACAACACACAGAAAAGCTAAGGGCACCCTCGCACGAATGCCCAAGAACATCCAACAAACACAAAAAACATTAGGGCACCACCCTCCCCGAATCGACCTCTATCTAATACCTCGGTCCGACCGTATTAGGCCCCATCAAGCCGCCACCGAGACGGAGTCGCTCAAACTGAGCGCAGGATGAAGCCGGACTGCACAGAGTGAGGCGGGAGTGCGCGGGATGATGGATGCCGCTCTTCGACCACGGCTCTGCCGGCGCCGATGCTGAGCTCGGCATCGCTCGGACGTCCGTGCCCCCGTCGGCTTCGCCCGTGTTTTTGTTTGGGGGTCCGACGGTGACCCAAGATGCCCCACCTTGGTAGAGCTAACGGTGCAACGGACCGCGCGAGACCAAAGATCTCATAGTATTTTATATGGTTGCCCTCTTTTATATAAAAAAATGCCCCGCGCTGGCCCAGCTTCTCGGGCGCCGGCCCCGTCGAGCGGCGCCGAGGGGCCTCCGCCTCCCAGGGGTTGCCGCCCAGCTCACCGCCTCGTTCGGCGCGACGCGGGCCCTCGCCGCCCCGGCCTCCGGGGGGAAGAGCGGGTGCAGCGCCATCGCCGTGCCCGCGAGGGCGCCGAGCGCGTAGGCGCCGACGAGGGCCCCGAAGGCTGCGGCTCCGCAGGCCGGCCTGCCCCTCTCGGCGCGCGAGATGGCCACCTGAGCGGCGAAGCCTAAGCAGCGGCCTCGCGCGAGGGGGCGGGGCGAGCGACCCCACGCGGTGGCTCACGCGGGCCGCCAGCGCGGCACGCCGCGTCGGCAACGAGGGCGCCCGGCGCGCAGCGCTGCGCGGGCGGCTCACGCGCCCATGTTGGCGCGGGCGACCTGGCTTTGCTGCCGTCGCTCGCCTGAGCGACGATCATCGGGTGGCCGATGAGGCTTCCCAGGTGCCAGGAGAGCAGGCGATGGTCGAAGCCGCGCAGGGCCCTCAGCACGCTCGGCAGGGCGAGCAAGAGCAGGGGCTCCACTAGTGACACGAAGAGAGTGAGCTGCACGCCCAGGGCGCTGATGCCCAGGCCGAAGAACGGCAGAAGGATGTCCTGCGGGCAAGACGTGTTTCCAGACTGAGCACAGCAAAACCGACCCCCATCCCATGGGCGTGGCATGGGCCCCACTGGCCGATGTACCCCCTAGGAAGGGGTATAGGCCGTTTCCTTCTGCTTTCAAGGGGTATATCCCCAACCGGGGTGCTGAGATGGGGAATAGGGTTCGGTCAAGCAATACTGACACATCCACTGCGTCTTGGGCAGTGGATGTGGAAAGAAATCTGGCCCCGAGGGGCTAGATCTTTATCCACATCCACTGCGCCTCGGCCTTTTGGCGCCCCTCCCCAAAAAGTTCAGGACTCTTGGAGGCGGCTGGGGGTCTGAAGTGGCTTGGATCCCGATAAATCGGCCGATAAGCCACATCTGGACAAAATCGGTCACTGGACCCCTCTCAGGGTCCACCTGGTGTAGTTCTCACGTCGGGTCTCTTTTCTGACGGTCCGGGAGCCCGAAAACGGCCAACCGAGGCCGAAAGAGGCCGAAAACCTGGTGGCACCCAGGAGGAGGAGGAGGAGGAGGAGGAGGAGGAGGAGGAGGAGGAGGAGGAGGAGGAGGAGGAGGAGGAGGAGGAGGAGGGGTGGTGGGGGGGAGGGGGAGGGGGGGGAGGGGGAGGGGGAGGGGGAGGGGAGGGGGAGGGGGAGGAGGAGGAGGAGGAGGAGGAGGAGGAGGAGGAGGAGGAGGAGGAGGAGGAGGAGGAGGAGGAGGAGGAGGAGGAGGACCTCGAACCTCCGCCCATTTCCTGCTGGCTGGAGCCAGTGCTGGGTCACCTCGGACCCCCCGCCAGCTCCAGCAGGACGCAGCGGAGAGAGTCGGGGTTGGCCGGAGAGGACACGCGAGAGGACGCGCGCCCCCTCCGAGGGCAGCGTTGCCACAGGCATGTGCAAGGCATGGGTCGCGAAACACAGGACACAAGGGTGGCCTTGATTCGGTAGGGCCTGTATGGATATACGTCGGCGGCGAGCAAAGGGGGAAGTGAGGAGAGGGCCTCCTCAGAAGGCGGCGGGACTTCTCAGAAACCCTTCGGCCTTCTAAGAGGTTTCCTGCACCCTCGAGAAAGAGTTTGAAAACTTCTGAGAAGGCCTGGGGACTTTCGAATATTCTGAACAGGCCTCCTCCTTCTCACTTCCCTCCCTCGCGCGCCGTCGATATGAACGTCGGTCAGAAGAAGAAGGTTCAAGCACAGCAGGAAGACTGATCAAGCAGGTTGGGTTCAGGCCCTTCCAGAGAGTACCAAAACACAGCAGAAGCGCATCGATTATTGAAGAAGGAAGACGCTGGAAATATATTGAAATATATTGGGATCAAGGAGTCCACAAAAACCTGCTTTCAACGACCGACATATCACCCTCCAAGGCCGCGCTGACGGCGTGCTTGGTTAACGGTGCGGTTGGGAATATTGGCTTTGTGACTCCGAGCTCACGCAGAACAAAATATAGGAAACCAAGGAACGCCGTTTTCTACATGTCAGACATGCGAGCGTGTCGAACGAAAGCGGCACAGTGAGTCAGTTGTAGGACAACACGAAGCAAGCGTCCCTATGATTGGCTTGACCACGAACTACACCTTCCTACAATCGGTTGTCCTACTTCGCCGCTGACTAACGCACTAGCGCCTCTACTTGAGCAGGGACCGGCCATCCCTGCATTCCTATAGTCCTACCACGAAATGTTCTTAGAACCCCCAAGCGCTCTAAGGACAAACGCAACGTTCTCGGAACATTAACCCGATGTGATAAAACAAGACAGACTCCGCCAGACATGTTCTGAGAACATCTCGCGGGAACCACAAAAAGGTCCTCAGAACATTCTTGGGAAGGACTATATAGGCGAGCCAGGGCGCTGCGTCCCTGCTTGGATGCCCGCAAATGTCCCACAGCGGCTCGAGCGGCAGGTCCAGGTCATCCCCGCTGATTTGGACGCCCGAGATGGGTACGGAAAGAATGGGTGCAATGCCCAACAGCAGTTCCTGTCCATTTTGAACAGGGCTCGCGGTCCGCGCCGCCGCGGCCTGTGTCCATTTGAGACAGAAGACCGCCTGCCCAACAGCGGCCGCTGTTGGTTTGGGACAACATTTGTTGTTGGGCATTGTACCAATTGGGCGCCCGAGTTATCCGGGGTAACTCGGGTCCGGGGTAACTCGGGCCTGGATTCCCGAAAAACGAACCCGAGTTATCCCTGACCCGAGTTACCCCTGATGATTCGGGGGCTCTGGACGCCCGAGTCATCCGGGGTAACTCGGGTCCGGGGTAACTCGGGCCTGGATTCCCGAAAAGCGAACCCGAGTTATCCCTGACCCGAGTTACCCCTGATGAGTCGGGGCTCTGGACGCCCGAGTCATCCGGGGTAACTCGGGTCCGGGGTAACTCGGGCCTGGATTCCCGAGAAACGAACCCGAGCTAGCCCTGACCCGAGTTACCCCTGATGATTCGGGGGCTCTGGACGCCCGAGTCATCCGGGGTAACTCGGGTCCGGGGTAACTCGGGTCTGGATTCCCGAACAACGAACCCGAGCTAGCCCTGACCCGAGTTACCCCTGATGATTCGGGGCTCTGAATTGTACCAATGTTTTCCGTACGCACCTGCTGGACGCAGGCGCGTGTCCCGTGCGGACGCGGAGCCGGAGCCGGCGTCGGAGAGTTGGAGGAGGAGGAGGAGGATGAGGAGGAGGAGGAGGAAGAGGAGGAGGAGGAGGGGGAGGGGGAGGAGGAGGGGGAGGAGGAGGGGGAGGAGGAGGAGGGGGACAACATTTGTTGTTGGGCATTGTACCACTGTTTTCCGTACCCATTTCGGGCGTCCAAAGCTGACGTCCCGGCTGGGCAGGCCGGCGTCCCAGAGGGCGGCCCCCTCCCGCCCGCGGGCGCGCGCCAGGTGCGAGGCCCAGCTCCAGAGGAGGCCGCCGCCGCGCCCTCGGAGGCGGCGGGGGCGCGTGAGGGGCGAGCAGCTTGAGGCAGGGCTGGGCCTCAGCGGCGTTTTTGGTGGCTTCGTGGGCCGTTTCCGTTTCGCCTTCGTTCTGCGGTAGAGAGGGGGAAGAAACAAGCCTACCTCGCCGTTGACCGCCCTCGCTTCCAGGAGATGCCAAGCGATGCCAGATTGCAGCCTGTACTGGTCAGGCCGCTTGGCGAGGAGGCGCGTGGTATGGCTTGGTTTTGCCTGGAAGCGAAAGCGGGGTAGGCAATTCACGCTCTGAGTAAAGGAGGATTCGGGACAAAAGCAGGGAGAACGAAAACAAAACGAGCACGAACAACACCGTGCAGGTTCGGCCCTGGTTGAAGGACCCCCATCGGCGGTGGAGCCAGGGGTGAAGTGAGAATCGGGGGCGCGCAAACACGGATTAGCGATCCATGGATTTGGCGCGCGGTCGCCGTACAGTCGGGGCGTTGACCAAAGGAACCCTGAATAAGGAACGAGGCCCCTTTTTTCCATAAGTTAACCTTCGATTTCCTGTCGAAAACCTAGGGGAAACCTAAGGCAAGCTGCGAAACACTTAAGGAACGCGGAGCCCCTCCCCAACGAGAAGGGTTCCTTCTTCAGGGCCCCGACTGTATCCATGGATCGGGGGAGGTGCCCTCCCCAAAATACGGCCGGCGCCGCCTCGTTCGGCAGCGGCCATCGAAGATGTCCCGCTGATCCACGCCCCCTTGATCCATGGTTGTGATCGCCTCCGAGAAGGGGCGGGGGCCTTCTCAGGAGGACCGGAAGTCCCCCAGGCTTCTCTCGGAAGCTTCCGAAGGCTCGCCCGAAGACGCAGAGGACTTCCAAGAAGGCCAGAGGGCTTCCGAGAAGCCCCACCGCCTTCTGAGAATAGGGGGCAAACAAACCTACCTCGCTTTTGACCACCCTCGCTTCCAAGAGATACCAAGCGATGCCAAACTACGGCCTGTACTGGTCAGGCCGCTTGACGAGGAGGCGCGTGGTATGACTTGGTTTTGCCTGGAAGCGAAAGCGGGGTATGTAATTCACGCTCCGAGAGAAGGCCTCCTACTTCTCCCTTCGCCCCCTCTCGCTCGCCGCCGACCCATACCCCTTTGGGAGCGGATCCAAGCTGCAGTCCACTCGCACAGTGAGGATGAACAACTCTCCAAGGCCATACTTGCTAGCGGGCCACATGCGAACCCTACCCCTACCCCCCACGATTTCTGAGGGGGAGGGTGGGGTTCACTTCGCTCGGGAGCTCCGGAACGAAGTGAACCCCACCTTTCCCCTCAGAAATCGTGGGGGGTAGGGGTAGGGTTCGCATGTGGCCCCCTACTTGCACCCTTCCCCTTCGGCCCATCCTTAGCCGCCCTCGCTGGCCGCGCCCCGCTCGCGCAAAAAATGTCGGCACGGCCTTCCAGATGCATCTGACCGAGTCACAAAGACCGAGCATCCCGCATGCAATCGCGGGAATCCAAGTTAGGCAACGTCTTCAGTTTGTGTTGTTAGGATTAGGAGTTCTTGTACCTCAATGAGCGAGCATGCCCGCAGGCCGCGAGATAACCAATGGATTCCCGTTTCCTTCCCGTTTTGGTTTTCTGCGGTTCTGTATTCGTTCAGCCTTGGCTGCAGAACGAGGTCAAGACGAAAACGGTCTACAAGATCACCAAACAACCACCGTGCTCAAGGCGAAGAAGGAACGTGAACGTGCCCGTTTTAGTACGATCGACATGGGTACGGAAAGCATGGGGACGAAAGCCGACACCAAACCCTCTCCATGCGGAAACACGATTTACCGTCAATGCTGCTGCGGGCCTTGTTCATTTGAGGCGGAAGGCCGCTTGCCGAACAACAGCCGCTGTCGGTCTTGGAGAAGATGTATTGTTGCACGCCGTACCCAACCTTTCCGTCTGCCCCGCGATTACGCGGTCGCGCGCGTACGCTCCGCGCGGGGCCTCCGCAAAAAAAACAACGCCCCGTATCCGCGGTGTCGCCGCCCAAAGGCCCAGCCCGCGACGGCGCGGATGCGGATCTGTTTTCTCGCCCCCGAGCAAACACCGCCTGACCTGTGGCGCCCTACAGTGTCAGCCCACTTGTACTCGACAGATCGCATCGGCTCGGAGGGCGCGGCGAGCCGCACTGCCTCGGCACGGGACCGAACTCGAGTCGGATCGGTGCGCTAGGGACGCAAGAGCAACGCCCGTGCAAGACTCGGACCGCATCGGAGCGTTAGACGGATCGACCCGGCCAGAATGGATGCCGGATCCGATCTCACTGGGCCAGACCCTGAACACCCCCCTCCCGCATGCTCTCCGGCGCGGCTCCGAGACAGGCCCAGGGCGGGCCAACGACCTTCACAAAAGGTCCGGAGATGTCCCGCAAGGGCCCCACGAAACTGCCAAGAGACCCTCGAAGCGGCCTCCAGCGAGGCCGATGCGCCGAAACAGTGCCAACGCTAGCTAAAAATGCCCTCGGGAGCACTGCGAGGGAGCGCAGAGTGAACGTTTTCTGATTGGGCGTTTCGACATTGGGCGGGAGGGGGGGGGAGGAGGAGGAGGAGGAGGAGGAGGAGGAGGAGGAGGAGGGAGGAGGAGGAGGAGGAGGAGGAGGAGGAGGAGGAGGAGGAGGAGGAGGAGGAGGAGGAGGAGGAGGAGGAGGAGGAGGAGGAGGAGGAGGAGGAGGGGATCTGGCTCCTGACCTCTGCTCAATTGATGCGGCTGTTTGGAACCGTGCGTCCTCGGGGGGAGAGGCTCCACCTGCTCGAAGCGGGCGCCCCAAACAGCGAAGCTCTGCTCCAGGGAGGGGGTGGGAGGGGGGGTGCCATGGCCCGCGCTGGTCGGCAAGGCAATGGAAACAAAAAAGCGATCACAAAAAAGCAACTCTCCTGATTGTCAGGAGGCAACCACCGCGAGGTTTGTCGTCGGAAATATATCAGGGAGGATTTTAAGCCCCATTGGGGAGCTGTTACGCCGCAGTGAGCCTCGGATTGAGCGGGATCCAGCTGGATCAAGCGGGATTCAGCGGGAGTACACCCTGCGAAATGCTTAAGAAATCATGGGTTAAGAAATTCATAGTCTCAGAAGTTGAATAAAAACCCAAACATTCCATTCAAATCTTAGGATTTACATCGAAACGTTAAGAATCAACGAGACTCTGGCCGAAGACTTGGGTTTTCTTAAGCATCGCCTAAGGTGTAAGCCGGACTTCGGACCAGGGCAACGTTCGGGGATGGACAGACCCCCCTTTAGTAAAACGTGGTTTAGTGAAAACGACCCGAGGCCCAAACCTGGCGGGCGCAAGCCTGGAAAATAACGGCCGCGGCGCCATCTCGAGAACCGAAAACGGACAATTCACTAATCGACGTGTCACTGTTGGGGGTTCTGTCCGCCCCCGAATTAAGCGGGATCCAGCTGGATCAAGCGGGGTTAAGCGGGATTAAGCCGGACTTCGGACCAGGGCAACGTCAGAACTTGACCTCCCGGGAGCTGCATCCGAATGATGAAGGGGCCCCGGGACACACAAATAAATACACACAAATAAAAATATTCACCATATTTTCCAATATTTTCTGGGTTTCTGTCTTCCCCCCAATTCCCATATTTTCCCATATTTTCTGGGGAGTCGACGATTAATTGTGTCTGTGTGTTTTTCTCCCTCCTGAAGTAAGCCGGACTTCGGACCAGGGCAACGTCAGAACCTGACCTCCCGGGAGCTGCCTCCGAGTGAGTGCCGCTCGCTCGCCCCGGGACCTGCCGGCGCTCGCTCGCCCAGGCAGGGCCGCGGGGGCTCTCGCCGCCAGGCGGCCAGGATATCATCCAGAGCACGAGCCGCGAGGCCCGCGAGCTGTCCTGAAGGGGCCCCAGGACACACAAATAATTTGAAGGGGCCCCAGGACACACAAATAGATACACACAAATAAAAGGATGCCCCCTATTTTCCTAGATTTTCTGGGTTTTTGCCTTCCCCCCCCATTTTCCCATATGTTCCCGTATTTTCTGGGGAATGGAGGATGAATTGTGTCTGTGTGTTTCTTCCCCTCCTGATGTCCGGAGGCCAGCGGCAGCGCTCGGCGGCGGCAGAGCACGAGCGCCGCATGCCGTGCGGGTGCGCTCGCGGCTGCCGCGGGTCTGAACTGCAGGCCGTTCGGAGCAGGACGAGGCCAGGGGGGCTGGGGGTAGATCGAGTAACCTCATGCCCGTGAGAATAAACACTAGGGGATAATAAAGTTCGGGGTTCAGGGAGAGATAATAAAAGTAGCCCAGCAGACCTCAGCATAATCTCGAAGTAAGAGATGATCAAGAGGAGACCAAGCCGAGCACGTTTTGAGACATCCTTGGCGGTTAGGGGATCGACTACGGAATCGAGTTGCTCCAGAACTACCTGTTCGTCGAATCTACAAAGAGTACGTCGCATGTTCGGAGGCTTATAAACGCATGTTCCGAGACCCGACATCATGACATTCTGGGGAAATCAATGCGGCAAACGATCCCCTACTCGAATGTGAGGGGATCTCTGAGATCCGGCGGTTCTGGAGGATGCATCGGGCGCCGCTGCCTTCTCACGAGAGTGGGACGCGCGTGGATCCCGATGCAGAGGGGGAGTACTCCGGCGAGCGCTCCAGAACGCTCCGAAGGCGACCGGCAACGATTGATCAGGCGAAGCCAGAACGAGGAGGCAACTTCTGAACAGAGGATGCATCAAGAATCTCTGAGATCCGGCGGCTCTGGAGGCTGTGTCGGGCGCCGCGGCCTTCTCAGAGCGCCCCCCTTCTGGAACGGACTGCTCCGCGCCCTGACCGCGGCCGCCCCGTGCCAGCCCCGCCCGAAGTGAAGCGAGGTAGCGCCGCCAGGGGGGTCCGGCGCCGACCCGAGAGACACGCGCGGACCTCCGACTTTTTTCTGTTTACACCTTAGGCGATGCTTAAGAAAACGTAAGTTTTCGGCCAGAGTCTCGATTATTCTTAACGTTTCCATGTAAATCCTAAGATTGTAATAGAAACGTTGGGTTTTTTATTCAAGTTCTGAGACTATGAATTTCTTAACCCATGATTTCTTAAGCATTTCGCAGGGTGTATGCAAGTTTTCGGTCCCCTAGTCTGAGGTCGGGCATGTCCCCCCCCACAGGCGGATGTTGGACGATTTTCTCCAGAAGAAAAAGGGAACCCAAAAACGCGCACAGACAGTCAAAACATCTTCCCCCCACACCATTGTTTGACTAGTTTTGGAGATTCCTCCCGTAGAGGGATAGGCCCGACCTGACCCTGGTCCTGGCCCCGCCCGAAGTGAGGTTAGCGGCACGAGGCAGGGAGGCGGTCGAGCCACGTCGGGCCCCCGTCCGCCGCCCGACAGGAGGGAATGGGGGAGCGGAATCCCCTGGGATCCTGACCGGGAGGGCGCGCGAAGCAGGTCGGGCTCCTGGGGCCACCCAACATTTGGCGGCGAGCGAGGGGGGGAAGTGAGAAGGAGGAGTCCTCCTCAGAAGGCGGCGAGACTTCTCGGGAAACCTCGCGCCTTCTGAGGAGCTTCTTCTCTGCCTTCGGGAAAGGCCCAGGATGCTTCTCAGAAGGCCGTTGAACTCCCGAGACTTCTGAGAAGGTTCGCCACATCTCGCTTCCCCCAATCGCTCGCCGCCGAAACATGACTTCGCAGGAAAATGAAACAAACTATAGACCTGCACTGGCCACGGTCGGGTCGATGCTCGGCCCAGGATACGTATAGACGCCCTCTTGGCTTGGCCAGGGAGGCTGCCTGAAAGCAGAGGAGCCCACAGAAGGCGGCAAGCCACGCTTACTCAAGGCAATCACTCTTCGCCAAGAACGGAACTCCTCACTGGAAGCAACACGAGCGTCGGCTCCCAATGGACACAACCACGACTCCCTGAGATCCGACGTCGCGGAAAATGCAACCTGGTACAACACTGATCGGCCCAAACCAGGGACCCCACCTCTCTTAAGGCTGCATCTCTCGAGCCCGATCGATCCGCGAGGCCCCCGGGCCCCAAACCGGGCAACATTTACCAGCCTGGAACATATCCCTATCCCTATGCTGGGCACCTTCTCATCACGATGCCAATCTTAGGGATTCCCTGATTTTTTGAAGGCGAATCCCTAAGATTGTCATCGCCTTTTGGCGTGTCAATCTTAAAGATAGGGATGGGCCGTTATACAAAAACCATGCATCGCCAGGATCTCGGGGCTCAGCGAACGGCCTGCACCCCGAGCGGGAAGGGCGGGGGAGCCATGGCGGCCCGAGCCAGAAGAGAGCTGCGGCACGCAAAAGGCCCGCCAAACGGCGTGGCGGCCTGGCGGCCCTCCTCCTCCTCCTCCTCCTCCTCCTCCTCCTCTTCCTCCTCCTCCTCCTCCTCCTCCTCCTCCTGTTCCTCCTGTTCCTCCTCCTGGAGTCTGGCTTCTGCGGCGCCCATGCTGCGCGCAACTTGCACCATAGGAAGGCACGAACCACATGTCGAACATTTCCGAGTCTGCGGATGCACTGGGCAAGAGCGGCACGACGAACTCCAGGACAATGCGACCACACCTTTCCTACACGCCGATGTTGGAAGAGACATACCAGATGTTCAACACAAACAGAAACAGTCAAAAGAGCAACACATATCGTCCCCTGACTATTGTTGTACGTACCACTGTTGAGTATTCCTCCCCTAGAAGACATGCCCGACTTAATTCTGATGGAAAAACCGACCGAGAATGCCGAAGTCGAGCACACATTTACCACGAGAGTTGGCGGCGCGCACCAGAGGGGGGGTACGAGGGAGGGGTACGGCTTCTTCGAAGAAGGCTGCTTCTTAGAAGGCGCTGGCCCTACATGTACAGACAAGGCCCGTGCCTTCTGAGATTTGTTCCTTCCACCCACAGGCAGAGTTGAACGGTGTATTGCACGACCTTCTTCTGGGCCGCCTGTCTCCTGTCCAGCTGTCACGTTCCAGGGGGCAGTCCTTGCTGCACTCTGGTCAACTGCGTCTTGCCATCGTGATTTCCCGCGCCTTCTGATAAGCAGGGATGCTTCTAAGAAGCTTCCTCCCCCTCTTCCCCCCTCTGCGCGTGGCCCATCGTCCCCCGTCCCTGCGATCTGTGACCTGCGAAGCTGCGGCAGCAGGCACCAATGACTGCCCTGACTGTCCCGTGCGCGCGGACATGCGACCTGGCAGACAGGGGTCGAAGGGCTGGTCAGATTGGAGAAACTCCCTCGCCTTGCCCTCCCTTGCTCTCGTCCCTTCCAGCTTGCCCGCCCCGCCTGCGTCGCCCCGCCGGCCATGGCCTCCCGCCTGCGCGCTCGCCGCGGCCTGCTTGCGGTTCGTTCCCCCTCTCCTTGCCCGTCGCCGCGCAGCAGAGCACTGCCGGGAACCCGCGGCGGACTGCGGGCGTGGAGCGGCGCCCGCCTCTGTTTTTGGGCTCCTGGGCTCGAAGCTCCCGCGCGCTCCTCTGTGCCCGGGGAGGCGATCACGAAGAGGGGTCCGACCTCTGTCCCTCCTCCCTCCCCGCCCCGCTTCCGATCGTCCCGAGATCTCCGACGGCATGCCTCTCTGCACTCCACGCGTGCCTCTTGGACTTCGGGCCCTGGGGCCCGCTGTTGGGCCCCCGTGGAGGAGCGCTGCCTGCAGGGCTGGGGCCGGGAGCTCCGGGGCCGCGGCTGGGAAACGCCATGCGTGAGCATGCCTTGACCTCCTTCCCTCCTGGGAAGGGAGGGGGAGGAGCGGAATGTATCTGGGAGGGGATAGGGAGGGAGGAGAGAGGAGGCGAGGAGGGGGAGGAGGAGGCGAATGAGGAGAGGGAGGAGGCGAAGGAGGAGGAGGACGATGAAGAGGAGGAGGAGGGAGAGGGGGTGAGTGGGAGGGAGGAGGGAGGGGGAGGAGGGAGAGGAAAGGGAGGTGGGGAGGGGAGAGGGAGGAGAGGAGAGGCACGGGGAGGATGTGGACCTGTAGAGACTCGTCCTCCTCCAAGTGCCGTGCGCGGCCTCCGCGCGGAGGGCCTCCGCGCGAGCGGGTGGGCTGTCGTTGTTATTGAGCTGGCTACGAGTTTCGACACACTCTATTACTGCGGGGCCCCCTCGATGCGCTCTGGCGTGCTCGCTTCGGCGCGGGCTGCACATTCTTGGAATCTGAGGCTCAGGCTCAAGCGTTTTGGGGGTGCGCCCAGACTGGCCCCCCAATAACAACAACGACACTCCCGCTCGATAACTCCTCACAATTTACTCCGAGAGGCCATGGTCAGAGAGGGCCCAAGACTCAGGAAGGGCGTGCCCGTTGGAGACTTTCCTTGAAACTCAATCAAATTGGTGAACTGAACACCCAGCTGCAACAACAACGGCTCCCGCTCAATACTTCCTTACAGTTTACCACGAGTGGCCCTGGCCAGAGGGGGCCCAAAACTCAGGAAGGGCGCTATCGCTCGAGAAGTCCTCGCAAGTCAATCAGGGTGGTGGAGGCCAGGCTACGATGACAGCGGCTCAACAACAATAATCCTTACAATTTACTCCCAAACGCCCTGGCCAGAGAGGGCCCGAAACTTACGAAGTCGGTCTCGACCGAGGTTTCCTCGTAATTCAATCCAGTTGGTGGAGGGCCATCTACGACGACAACGGCTAGAGAGGGCCTCACACACAGGAACGGCGCACTCGCTCGAGACTTCCTCGGAATTCAAACAATATGAAGACTGCCTCACTGGGTCGCAGCCTTGGAAGGCGGAGCCAGTGTATTTCCAATTGCCCTTGGGAGCGCCGAGCCAGATCGGGACTGCTCAATCCAGCCATGCCTCGCATCAACTGTTCCAGGGGCGCATACGGTTATTTGTTGCATGG